ATTGTTCATCGACGTCAGCGTATCCGGGTGCATCCCGCCCAGCTTGGCCCGGCCTCGAGAACGCACTTGCAGAAGAATCCCGTCAAACTCAAAAACACAACCACACACAAACAGAGACAGACACACACACACACAATCTCTCACACACGCACACAGGATGCCAAAGCAGGCTGGGATTGGAAAGTCGACCATCAGTTTATGAATGTTCGGCTCGATTCAAGAACCCCGTGAAGGTGAACAGACTTGGGCTTGAACGTTTGCTGCAGTTCATGTGGAGGTGCGAGTTGTGCATGCGCCTATCCTGCTGTTTGGATGTTTTGGGCGCATGGGTTTCTGGCCAGGCTTACTGAATGTTGGCTTTTGAAGTGTGAGCTTTTGGCCCGGTGGCCTCGCTGCACCGCACGGCTTCAACTTCCCGAGTTCAATGGCACAGCACGGACACAATGCGATAAAGCAGTGCATGCTGACAATACATCGATTCCTTCCCGTTGTAGTCGCGCTTTGCAATTGCGGCCTCGACGCGTTCAAATCAAGTAACTGCTGAGGTGCTGGCGGCCCTCGAGTGCTTCGCGGTGGAGCGACTCGGCCTCCTCATGACGTCCCTGAGCCTGTGGGTTGCGTCCAGGGAGGCAAAAGTGCGAGGAATGAAAAGCACCTAAGAGCAGTGCCTGGGCTCCCAAATTCCCCAGAGCCGCAAGCACGAAACCCTTGACTAGCGTGATCAGGCCTCCAGCACAGAAGCCACATTGTTCATCGAACCCAGCGTATCTGGATGTGTCTCGCCGAGCTTAGCACAGCCTCGGGATAGCAAAAAATTGTATACCTGAGGGGTTCCATCTTGGGTGGCGCTACATGTTATTCTGCCACGTTCTGCCATGCTTCATCTCGGAGTGTCAGAACACTGTGGGACTTGCATCGGTGTGAACAGGGAGTCTAACCGCGCAGTGCGGCCGGCACGTTGCGATTCCGCTGGTGTGGAGCACGCTCTAGACTCTAGACATGCTTTAAACTTTATAGACTCTATAAGGCTCTTTCCACGGTCCCGTACTCAGGGAACAGGGTACCGCATTTGGGTGAAGCAATCAATCGTGTCCTGCCACCGTTCTCATTCGCCCCATGGTTCCACACTGGGGACCTCTGCTCCCGCCACTGTGCGGCGCATGTTGCTGGTACAAATTGTGATTCCGCGACAATGTGGTGTGAATTTGCGTCGCTGGCGGAGGCTGGAGTGGTTCTTTCGCTGTTTGGGCTCTTCTGGCATTATGTATAATCAGGTTTTGACCTGGGAGCTGCTGCCTTCCAGGAGATTGAGATCCCACAAAAAATTGAAACACGAAGCGGGTCCGAGCATGTGCTGTCACACAGCTAGTCGGGATGCCGGCCCAGAACCCAACTGCCAAATACTGCAGAGTCATAAAGTCACCATCTTAAGCCTGCCTACGCTGCCCAACTCTGGCTGCACTGCTGTTCTACTTTCTACTGCATCAATAGCTGCCACGCTGAAGCCTTGCTGCTGCAAGTTCAATTGCTACACAACTGCGTATCCACTGCGGATACTTCAATTCCAACTGAGACTGCGACGACCCTCCAATGCCTTGCGGAGCAGCTGCTCCGCCTCCTCATAGCGTTCCTGTGCCTGTCTTGCAAGTGTGGGGTTGAGTTCGACGCCGGGCCGTGAATAGCATACCGAGCTTGCGAAGATCACCTCTTGGGGGTGGGCTAACAAGCGCCGACTAGTAATTTCAAGGTTCGTCAGCTCGGGGCTGAATTCCAGTTGGAGACAGCCAGGCCTCTCAGCACTCGCAGCAGCACCACCACTACCAACACCAGCAGCACCAATAGCAACCCATGGGCGTCAAGAGTCCCGTGAACTGTGACGTATGTATCGTGGAGACACTTGTGCGCATGCATACAGATTGCGTGCTTTTGCAGCTAAGACCAATCCATAATTGTAGTTCACTTTGGTCCCTTCACTCGATGGCTCGCGCAATGCTCTCGTCAGCGCCTGCAGCAACATCCCCACATTGTTCATGGATGACAGCGTGTCTGGGTGCTTCTCACCCAATTTGGCTCGGCCTTGGAAACAATTCGCAAAAACATCCTGCGCAAACGAAACAGAACTGCGATTCAATGACAACGCACTGCGACAAAAGCAGCACGAGGAAAAAAGAAGAACAAACAAAAACACGAAAGCAAAGCAGCAGGGTCTCGGGGGGTGTGGGCCTGGCAACCTCGACATGTCCAAGTCAGAGCAACCTCTGAGGCCTCGGCAACCCTCCAGCTCTTCGCGGTGGAGCGATTCGGCCTCCTCGTACCGTTCCTGGGCCTGTCCGATGTGCTTTTGGGAAGTGTCCGCGCGAGGACTTGACCAGCTTTTTCAGGTCTGAATAGTGTATGGGGCCCCAAGCACACCCACGCTCAGACTTCTCCACAGTCGCAGGTCCGAAACCCTTAATTGACTCCGGCTGCCAAACACGAGAGCCACGATCTCAAATCAAGGCCAACTGTAGCCCCTGTCGCTCCCTTCCGAGGCTTGCCCAAAGCCCAAAGCCCAAAGCCCGCGTCAGCGCCTGCAAACAATTTGCCAGATTGTTCATCGACGTCAGCGTATCCGGGTGGTTCCGGCCCAACTTGGCCCGGCCTCGACAGCAGAACAGTTTCAAAAGCATCCCGTCCAAAACGCAAACAGACACACACACACACAGACAGAGAGCATGCACTTCGCTTAGCCAGGCTCCCTTCAGTTCAAGACTCCCGTCCAGGTGAAGAAGGCTGGGATTGAAAGCTGGCTTTCACCATCTTGGGATATCTTGGGGATGTCCACGAGCAGCTCGGCTGTTCGGGGCGGCATGATAGCGGCCTATATAGTATGCAAACACCGATGCCTACGGCCTGCTTGCAACATGCTACATACAACATTCCATAGGAAAGCATGCACGAGCGCAGTCAAAAGCTGACTCCTCAAGGCGTGCTAATGACATACCAGAACTGCCTGCACTGAATTAGGACCACTATAGGAGTGCAGCAGCAACAACAACAGCACCAGAAGCCACAACGACAAAAAAACGGTGTGGAATACCTAAGCCGTGCCACCAAACAAAGCCAATCAGCAGGGCCACGTGGTCAACACGTCACAGACACGCCTCCAGATGAACTGCGGACACTGGCATGAAGAGCCCCGCATTGGACGTGGCACAACGTCACAGCATGGACACAAGAAAAGTATTTTAAGCACTTGTGCTTCATGCCACCATAGCATGACTTCAATTTGATAACATCGCTTGACGACTCTACAAGCCGCCAACCGCTTGAGTATATGCAGGGCATGCGCGGCCCATATAGACGGCGCAATATACACCACGCACGACTGCGTTCTGGAATTATACCCTCAATACATGGCCTTCGGCTGCATAAGCTAACAATGTATCAGTTTCTGCCCACTGGAGTCGCACCTGCCAGTCACAACCTCGACATGTACAAGTCAAAGCAACCTCTCAGGCTGGGGCGACCCTCCAGCGCTTCGCGATGGAGCGACTCGGCCTCCTCAAAACGATCCTGGTCCTGTCGACTGTGCTGTTATGGGGAGGTATATGCGAAACGAGTTGAGGGCTGGGAAAACGACAATAACTACTGAGAAATTAGGACCTGCAGTCGCGTGATTGGCGAAAGGCTCCGAAGCCCCACATCCACGATTCCCCAGCGCCACAAGGCCGAAACCCTGAGGTAGCTCCTGCAGCAAGACAGCCAAATTGTTCATCGAATCCAGCGTTGCTGGATGTGTCTTGCCAAATTTGGCACGGCCTCGGGATGTCAAGGGTCAGATTGTATGCATGAGGAAAATTCTGAGGGTCACTATGTACGATCCTGCTGTACTCAAGTCGTACGCCTTGTTCCCTCACTTTCTGAAACTGCGCGTCCCATCTTTTCCATGCAGGTAGTTGCAACTGTTGCAACCACTTCCCCCCAGCCCCCCGAGATTCGAAGAGATTGAAACACCAAGCGGGAACCAACAAAAACTTTGCGCAGCTAGCCTGGATGCCAGCAAAATCTGCGGAGTCACGAATTCGATATCTATCCAGCGCTTGGCTGCGCTGCTCAACTGTTGCAATTCATGAAAGCTGAATTGTGATGCAAACGTCTGAATCCACTGCAGATGCTTCAAAACAAGCTGGGACGGCGGCTGCCCTTCAATGCTTTGCAAAGCAGCTGCTCGGCCTCCTCAATTCGTCCCATGTCCTGGCGTCTTGCTTTGGTTGTGGACTAACAGCAAGCACAAGCGGAGCAGAGCATAGCACAGCCACCTCGGTTTCACCTTCATATCTAGTATCGATATGCTCTCACCGTCACTGCTCCCCGGGGCCTCCAGAAGCAAAGCAAGATTGTTCATCGAATCCAGAGTATCCGTGTGACTTTCGCCCAGCTTGGCCCTGCCTCGGGATATTCTCAAACCAACCCGACGGAGGAATGACAAACAATGGCATAATCACAAAAGGGCTAACGCGGGCAATTGACGCCGTTCTAGAGACCCGTAAATAAGTTGAGGTCTGTGCCGCACCTACTTCCTGGGCCCTGTCGAACTGTGGCGTGGGGCTCACCATTGAGCGATTCCTGAATATCGAAACGCTATCGCATCCAGATTTCAGCATTGTTATAGAACTTCTGACCTGCTTGGACTTCACTGAGCAGAAGTGCACATCAGCCTTGACCCAGCATTGCCAGCAACACTACGGAGCGATACAACGACAAATTGAGCTCGTCGCGACATACCAGCTTGACACCGATCGAGAGAGACACACACACACAATATGCAAAGCCGGTGCAGCCTGCATAATTACATGTAATTAGTGCGGTCTTTCAGTGTTAAGGCTAGTGTCAGCTCGATCTGTGGAGCAGTTATATAGTGCACTACTAGCTGTTAACTCCTACAAATGAAGTTCAGGTGTTGCATCGTCCCGTGCAAGTATGCCCCCAACAAAGCTTTGAACTTGTGGCATCCTATGAATACGGCGTAGAAAAGACAAACAGACCATACAGAAGGGTAGCACATGGACGTGCCCGTGTCATGTCTAGACGCTTGAATGGAATCTACAGCGCTGCAAGTTGCAGGCTTCGCTGTCAGCTGCGTGCGCGGGCAGAGATTTTGGGCTTACAGGTTCAGTCCTTCCAACAAGCGCGATTGCAACAAGTCTCCGAAATGCTAGCCCAAGTGAGCTTGTCGCATCTATGCCAGCGTCCCAGAAAAGTCGGCACCGCCCTGATTCTGGTAATAGTGTTGAGTCAAGTGCTGAGGCCGTGGCGGCGGTCCAAACACTCCTTGTAAAGCTTCTCTGCTTCATCATGGTAGGAGCGGCCATGTAGCCTACTCCCAAGCTCGTACATGCAGTCCAGGGTTGGCTTTGCATCGTCTCCCAGCTCTTCTCGCAGATTTGACAGGCGAGTCCTTAACAGCCTCAGCAGACCATCTGCTTCGGCGCCGGCATGTTGCACCTCTCCAGCTTCGTTCGTCACCTGCAGAACCCAAACATCCCGGTTGCGGTCCACAGACCGCCCTTTGTAATCCTCGCCCCGCCGGATGCAGCGCTCCTCTCCTGTTTCGGCGTCACGCACGCTCTTCTGCGCGAGGTCTGGCCTCGCGGCATAAACAGCTGCTACTCCCCTCGACGCACAAATGGGCAGGAAACAGGAAAAATCACGACAACTTGAACTGCTGGCCGTGGCACGTCTGTTTTTCGAAGATATTGTGCGCGAGCTCCCTGGGGACTAGTATCGGAATACAGAATGCCGCACGATGGCCTTCAGCATTGCCGGTGCCCCATTCCTGCTCAACTCGCTGAGACTCCGCGTCTGTTGTGTCGCCTCAGTTTCATCGCAAATGACACAGCAGCGGCCAAACACGCAAGTCCGGCAAAAACGCATCGACGACCCGGGCCCGGACGCAAAGGGCTCAGATTGCTGTAGTTGTTCAGCAAAATACGCGTGCGGGAGCCCCATACCTTGCAGCAGATTTCACTGCTTGCACGGTAACCTTACTCCTACTCTCCGTCACACAACATGTTGTCTAGATGGTCATGCTGCCAAAGAGCAGCTGGTTCATGCTGCGTACAATAAACGCCTTTCCCGAAGTGGGCCCTGGAGTCCACCAGTGACGCGAAAAGCTCGGCAGTGGTCTGTTCCATGTTGGCCACATTGCGGAAGGCCAGCTCGTGGGTATAGTGATACAGCACACAAAGGTCTTGTTGACCAGACTCTCTTCGAACATCGCGCAAGTCCAATGCATACTGCCACACGCTCACAAGTCCACCGGCATCATCACTCTTCTCGTCTTCATCGTCGATGTCGTCCACGTCATTGTTCGCCTCCTCATCATGCTCGTTTTCGTTTTGCTCATCATTCTCATTCTCCTCCTCATCCGCCCCGTCATGTTGAGCCGGGTAGTCGAAGGTCAGCAAATCGCCCAAAGTGCCCTCGGAGTATTGCGACCCTTTGTAGACTTTGCCTTAGCTTCATGGTCCTCTACAAGAATCATCGTGCTGTCTTGTATCGTTGTAGATAGCTCCTGCACTTTGCTGACGAACGGATCTGCACCCTGCGACAATCCTAATTAAGTACCAGCACTTGCCTCCACGAATTGCAATATGAACTGGCAATTCATGGATAGCGGGGAGTCGCACTCACGCCAAGCCGTTTGTCCTAATATGTCCTAATGCGGACGCCATGCGTCTGTAAGGCTCGCACTGTCTAAGTACGGGCCAAGGAAATACTTCGACAGCTCTCCGCGGCCAAGGGCCTTGTAAGCAGAAACAGAACCGCCTTGAGGCACTAAGCCGTCGAAGATACTCCGCGAGCCGAAAACTCTACCTGACACGATGCCCTTTCACGAGCAACTGTCTGCACAAGACTGCCGAGAGTAAGGGGGCTGGTACCGGGGTGTGAGAACAGCATAATTGTGGACACGAGCATGGTGCACGAGCTGCTCGTACTATGGCAACAAGCTTGGCAAGTCCAAGCTGCAATGTACAAAATCATGTGGCTGCATCTTACCCATCTCCAGGCACATCGGGCTCGTAAAGTGCTCAGAATGCACCTAAGATTCTTCAACCCATAGAACCGTAGCCCGTCAAACCTGCGAACCCCTCGAGCCGCTAATCACCACACACTCCGAACAGTCCCCAGGCCCTGAGCCCTAGGCTCCTACCGAAGCCTCAGCCCTGCTTCAGAAATAGCCGACTGTTCTCATCGTTCAGATCCACTGCGTTTCTCCATAAGGCCGACGAGCCCTATGATGCAAGCTCTACGAGGTCTGCGAGACCCTATGAACCCTAAACCCTAAACTACAGCAAACCAACCCCTCAAGCTCCCGAATCTTACTGAAGTCATGGCCTCGGTCACTGCAGGGTCGGCCTGGCAGCAGCTTCCACTCCCATCCCTTACCGTCTTGTCATCCCTCCCTACTTTTCCCGGGATTCGGCTTCAGGATTTGCGGTTTCGGGAACCCGAAGAGGCCACCTCGGCCGAAGCAGTCGCGCTAGCCTGCATCGCTTGTGAACGATTGCTTTCCAGATTCGAGTCTGGGTTCTCAAGACATGTGTGGGGGGGGGGGGGGGGG